GGGAGTTTCGCAGGTTGCAAATGGTTTTTAAATGCTTTTAAATGGGGAACGTTTCTAAGGCATAAATGGACGTTTCTAAGGCTTCAATGCAGCAACTTAATCAGATTTCGTTTCTGCCATTTTCTATTTCTTTAGGCATGTGATTGACTTTTTAAAAAAATTATTATTTTTACCATCATTAAATATTGATAAAAATATATTATTAAAATACATATATCTAATATAGAAGTAAAACTTGAAAACTTACTAATTTCTTATAAAATAAATTAAGATTTTTTTATTTCAATGAAATATGTTAGAAGTAACTTATAAATATAACTAGTAAGAGTATAACTTTTTTAAGGAAGTTTTTTCATACCACAAGCCTTTTTAGAATTTCAAAGTAATATTTCCTTCTTTTCATTATATTTGTCTTTTAAGGTTACTACCATACACTAATTAAAAAAAAATATAATAAATATGTAAAAATATGACATAACTCCTTCCGATCTTATATAATTACAAGGTGGTGTTGGAAAATGGAGACCATTTGAAGGTTAGGAAGTGAGGATGGATGTTAGTTAGGTGGAGGGATGATTAGAAATTCAAAAGTAGACTGGTTGATGAGATTCCAAAAGAGTTTATGAAATAAAATTGCAATCCAGCTGAGTTGTTAATTGCCCTAAAGCCTTGACTTGAAGCAGGGAACCAGCTAGGATCGATGCTCCAGGATAAACACATTATATTGAGTGAAAGATTCTCCTCCCGAGGCTTAAATTTCATTATTCAATGACTAGGATTTGAAGTTCTCTTAATATTAAAAAAAAAATCAACTCACATTATTTAAAAATTAATTAATTATAATAATTATATCTAAAAATAAAAAATTATATTAAAATATCCTTATACTTGATAAAAAAATATGTATTAATATTTTGTGTCATAAATGAAAATAAAAAATTAGATTAAAATATTCAATTGAAAATGTGTCCATTAAACTCTTTCTTGTGCGCTCCCCTCGCTTCACTAGCTAGAGTTGTCAATCCAAGTCCTTTCCAGCTACTCATTTATTATGCCTTGTATTTTTTAAGAGTTGTGTTTTAAAAAATAGAGAATTTTGCATTACAAAAATTTAAACTTAAACTATTCAGAATCAATTTATAAAAATTATAAAAAAATTTAATGTTAAATTGAACCATTCATATTAAATCTACATTGTTCAAATTATTAATTAAATAAATTTATTAAAATTTTTATTTTAATAAATATAAAAATAAAACTAGTAAATGTTGATCGAGCAAATTTTTCCATGTGCTCATTGAGCACCAGGGAAGCGAAACCAAATCCCTGTAAGTGAGAGACCATGGTTTTGTCCTTTGGTTATCGTGTTATGTATGTCTACCAACGTTATGAACGTGCCTTATTTAGTTATTTTAGTGAAGCATGAGGCAACTTATAGGAGCAAGCCGAAAATTAGGCTCATGATAAGTCTTGCTTATTTCTTTTTCCTCGGCCTTTCCCTCAAAAAAGACTCTGCCCTTCCTTCTGATATATTTTTCTTTCATCTCTTCCATCTTCTGAGTAATACAAGTTGATATATTTGTTGTTACATTGACCGTGAAGTATATTGTGAAGAGGACATTGGATGCTTTTAATTGTTGAGTGTCTGGTCAAAAACTAAGCGGCAAAAGAGGGAGCCGCGTGTATGGAGACTGAGTTGTTTTTTTTTTTTTTTGACCCGAAAAGAGAGCAAGTCCTAAATTTTTTTCTCGTTTCGAGAACATGACCGAACATCAATCATGTGGCCGACAAGCCTGCGAAGGAAGGATTGGCTAGCTTATTCTTCTCTCTTTGAAGTTGCTCCTACTTTTATTAGTAGTTTGGTGTCCTCTGATGTATTGGGATATGGTTCCCCTTCTTTGTAGTTTAATCTAAACTTCTGGGCGTTTGTCCTCTTTATTACCAAAAAGAAAATAATAATAAGAACATGACAGGATGGTCAGACAGCCAAGACCATTTATTGGAGTCAGATCTGAATCAAAAACACAGTTTTTATAGTTGAGTGAGGTTAGATCGAAATTGAGCCACCATTCAGATGAAAAACAGAGTTGATATGAAAGTCAAACTGGTTTTCAATAAATCAAACAAGTCTGAACATAATATAAAAAAGGCTAAATTTTTTTCAAAAAATTATAAAAATTAAAAAAATTATCTTACTAAAAATCAACTTCAATTTTTTGACCCTTCACATATATTATATATAATTTGAGACTATTTTCCTACAAAGAGTTTAATAATTATTTGTACAAATATAAATACTTTTAATCCTATTCACATGCTTAATTTAACTAAGATCCATACCTATATTTGACAAGTTATAAAATTATAATTTATAATATTTTTTTACTTATGGACATGTCGTGTTATTTAAATATCCATTATAAATGTCAAAGTTAATTATGAATTTAAAATTATAATTCTTTAAAAAAATGAAAACATCCATATACATGCTAAAACTAATTGTAAATAAAAAATCATTAGTTTTATAAAATAGAGTGACATAATTTTGATTGAGTAGCGGGTCATAATCAAAGTATTAATATTGCACAGAAATGTTGAGTGGCAGAATTGCAATTTAAACAAAAAAGGGTCGAAGCTAAGCCAGCCCAATAAATAGCACTTGTCCTCATGTTGGTGATTCATATTGAGACTTATCATCTTGCTGCTGCCAAGTCTCTGGATCTCATCTGAATTACTTGTCCTCGTGATTCATCCCTCTTTGATTTTGATGTCGTGTTTCTAATTTTGATCACATCGTAAATGTCATTTTGATTATGCATCACATTATTCATCTTCCATCCAATAAAATTATACTAATTAAATTAAATAAAATTTTATATGCTATCATTTGTAATATATTGAGCCTAAAAGCAAGTTCAACTATTAATATTGGACAGAAATGTTGAGAGATAGTCGAAATTGAAATAACGAGCGGAACAATTAGGTTAAAGCCATCTCAATAACTATTACCAGTACTTCCAACCCTTATAATTACTGTACCTTACACACATTTTTTTAATATGATTTTATTCCCTATCTTTAATTGAGTGCAATGGATTTTAATATTTACCTCACACGTAATAAAAACAGAAAAGTTCAGTACATCATTGAAATTTAATAGTATATCAACAAATTCCAATAGATTTTAACATGACATTGATTAAGTATATTCCAAGATTTGACATGTTAAAAAAAAAAAAAACAAAACATTGATGAATAGGATGTCACGTGGCTGTGTTGCAGGGCCATGACGATGTGATGACTTGAAAGATGTTCTTGTCCAATTCCTCCTTTTTTTTTCCCCCTTCTCATTCGGAAATGATGGGGAGATGTTTTGACGAGAAAAGTGGGTGGACAATTGCCCAATGATCACCAAGAGTAGAGAGCAATAATTAAATACAACAACAAAAGCAATAATTAACGCAAATTAAGTCTATTTTTTAACGAAAAACTGCAGATAGTGACCAAATGACAAAAATATTTGTTAAAAGGACCAACAATTTAGAAAAAAAATTATGTTGACCATGGTTTACGAAAAAATTAAATTAGAAAGTGATTGTTCAAAAATATGCTGAAAATTTATTTGATTGGACAGAAAGATGATATATTTTCGCATCAAAACCAACACAATTGAAATAAAATTACTAAAATTAATATAAGGGAATTATGGGATGTTGCAACTTTAAGTGACTCAAGTTTGTCTCATTAATCAATTTAATTCCTTAAATTTAATTTTCATTAATGTAGTCCTTTAACCTTTAAGTTTACTTCAATTTTTGATTTGATTTTTATTATTTAAAAAAAACATTACATTGTTAAAATTTGCCCAACATGCATAATAGAATATTAATAGTAATCATGTGGATTAATAAAAAGAAGTATACTTATTCAAATAGAGAAAAAAAGACTAAAATTTGGATGGCCCCGACCTAGACGAGCACATGTAACTCAAAAAATTTATTAAGATTAATATTGGACGGGAAAATTTAATATATATTATTATTAAAATAATTTAATAAAAGAGCACATATAATAAAAATTATTATATATTAAAAGACTAAAATTATAATATATTAAATCCGGATTTTGATGGTCCCGACCTAGACGAGCACATGCTCATCCTTGGAAACCAGACCCGGAAACCAATTCCAGTCTCCTAGTTTGCTTCTGCTTCTTCCTCGTTCTGCTCATTGTGAACTGCATCATAGTCGTTCCAGGTATTTCTTTATCTTTCCCTCTTCACCACCTCTTCTTTAAGATTTTGTTTGGGTAAAGTTACAATCTCATTCTTCTATTTCTCCACTAAAGCTCTGTTCTTTCCGATCACTAACCTCTTCTTCGTTGTTGTCTGTTTGATTTTTCTTCGATCCCCTCTTCATCATATTGATATTCTCTTTCATGTTCATGTTTTCATGATGTCAAGGTTATGCTTTCTTTGTTGTATAGAAGTTTTTAAAATAAATTTTGGCCTCCCATTTCATGGTTTATTTTCAAGTTGGCCCCCTCATTGATTAGCTCCTACATCAGTCCGTAGTTCTAATACACGGAACACTGGACACTGAAAGTGAACTACTTGATTTAGAACAAAAGTCTTTAAATTAGTCATGATCCATTATATCCACGTAAGACATGATCCGCACTTATATACCTTCAGAATAATCTTGATTCCATTATACATGATATACATATATGTTATGTTGTTAAAGCATGAGTAAACTTGAGCTGATGTGAGAAGCCCCATTTTAAATAAAATTAAGCTTAATAATTAATTTATAATAAAGAAAGAGGAATTATAAATTTGAATATTGAGATTTTGATTTAAGATGTGGTGTTCTTTGGTCACTCTTATCCATTTCTCCCCTCTCCCTGTTTCCAGGCAAACACTTCCTATTCCTAGCAGTTCACTGAATGTGCAGAGACAATGAGTTCATCGCATGTGGAGATAACAACGACAAAAGACGCTGTGTTACCCGTGGCAGTTAATTCTAGTGAGGATGAGAACTCGGAGATATTGTTGAGAATGGAGGGAAATGTTGATGAAGATAATGTTTTCCAAGTGGCTGAATCCGACAGTAAGAACACTGTACTCATCTACATGCGTACTTTTACTTCTACTGAAACTGCTTATTTATTGTATTTTAATTATTAAATTTGAAAAAAGTGATACTCCCCTCAGATGCTGCACCAAAACTTATATTAATGAATAAATTACCTTCTGACCTTAGATCAAATAATACAAAAGATTTTAAACTCATTTATTATGTAAATTATTTTTTTAATTTTTGAAAACGGTATAATCTAATTGCTGTTGTTAACAAAAGTTAATTTTAATTGTTACTTGACTAGAAAATAACTTTGAAAATTACAATAAAGGACTAAAAAGTTACAGAAAAGGGAGAAAAAGATTTTTTAGGTCCTTTCAAGTTAACAGTCAAAGGTACAGACAAAATCTGAACATTCTCTGTAATTTTGATGTCATTTATATCATTTTGTAATCAACTAACAATCATAGTTAATTTTCGTTATCGGTAAATACTAGATATTGCACTGTTTTTAAAAGTTGAAGAAATAATTTGCTAAACAAGTTTAGGGTGTATGGTATTTCTAAACTTAAAATTCAGGAGGTAGTTTGTTCATTTACCTTTATGTGTGTGTATATATATATGTACGTGTATATATATATGTACTCCATCTGATCCTAAAACTATATAAGGCAAAGTTTCAATCTCGTACTTCTATTTCTCTACTAAAACTCTGTTCTTTGAAATCATTAACTTCTTCTTCGTTATTGTTTGCTTGATTTGTCTTCCCCTCCGCAGATCATATTGATACTCTCTTTCAAGTCCACGTTTATCCCCCTTTTTTGGGGTTTAAGTCATGGCTATGTTTTCTTTTTGGGGTTTGTTTGGCCCAGTCCAATTTCCATAGCTATGTGGCCGATCCTTTAAATTTAATCTGGGAAGGTTTTAAAGTTGGTAGTAATTTAAAATAAATATCAAATTGACATTATTATGCATGACGAAATTAAAAATATTCCTGAATTTACCATCGGGCACTTGGATCAAATTGATTACAGAAGGTTAGTCCTCTTAGTTAGAGGTCTTTCGTTTGAGTCTTGAATATCCACAAAAAGGTGCTTGCAAGTTGTTGACGGGATCAATCTAGGTTAAAAATCCAGGATATTGGAATAAAAGCAAAAATATGCCTGGATTTTTTTTTTTTCTATTGTTGCTCTAGTTACGAGACTGGCTAGCTATTTTCGTGAAAGTGGACGTGTACAGAAGGGAAAGGATCAAGAGTTTTCCATATATAGTTCCTAGTTGATGTTTGCAAGTCAATGTTTGGATGAATATTCATTTGCAACAAGGAAGATAGGGTTATCTTCAGATATAGTTTAGCATTTGAGGATATTAGAAAAAATTGAGTTTAGAGAAACATACTGTATCTGTTTCTCATGTTTAGATGTTTATACAGATGAACTGAGAGTCAAGAGAAAAATGATAATCTGAAGTTTCATGAATTCAATATTAATCTTTTTAAAATTCGCATGCAACTATCCTTAAAAATAAGTGACATTGCATAAATTCATAAGGGTTGAAGGGAAAAAATATTTCAAAACTATTTTATGAGTGGTGCTTGATATCTTTAATTTTTTTTTGGAATAATGTCACCTCAAAACTTTTAAAAATAATGTAATGTCAGCTTGTATCGTTAGTATATATTTTGCAGTGTATTTAATTGAAAATATCAATTTAAATAATTGCAAATTAAAAGGTTCCTGGTGCAAATAAGATGCATTAAGATTTTTGTTTGTAATTGTGTGAATCAATACTTGAATCTCACTTTTTCAAAAAATTTTATGAGGCAGCTAACAATCATTAATTCCCTCTTTTAGGAATTTATTGCCATTCTCCCCGAAAGTCACCAGTAGGTCGGGTTTTCAAGTTGTTTGTTTTTTCCCCACATTCATCCAAATGCACGTCTAACTCAACCTGAGAGAAGAAGATTAGACACTTAGGTTGGCAAGCATTCAACAAATTGCACTGCAAAATATATACTCAATTCGGTCCCAAATATAGGAATCTATCCTGTCAGATTGAGAAAAACGATTGACACAACTAAACTTATTAAATTGGTCACATTCAAAAATAGCGCCCATTACATAAGGTTGCGTGAATAGTAATAGAATTATAAAACCGAGTACACAATTTTATATTTGGTAATGGTGGTGGTGACGTGCAAAAGAAATGGATAGATTGTACGAGGCTATTAGTGAAAACAACTGGAATGCTGCGAAAGCCATACTGGAGGAGAACCCAAGTGCCTTGACCGCAAAGATAACTTCTTCAGGCAAAACAGCACTTCACGCGGCTGTAATGTATGGGCACGTGACCTTAGTGGAGAAGCTTGTCAAATTAGTTCCCCCAGAATTGCTAGAAACTAAGGATGACTTTGGCGATACGCCACTTTTAAGTTCTACGGTCACTGGAATCACTCAAATTGCAGAATGCCTAGTGAGTAAGAATAAGGACACACTTGGCATTTCCAACTCAACCAAAGAACTTCCTATCGCATTGGCTCTTCTCAATGGTCATCAACAAATGGGACGTTATCTTTATTCTATCACTCCTTTGAAACTCCTCACACCGCCAGAGAATGGCGTTCACGGTACTATGGTTCTTCTCCGTTGTTTCCAAACTAAATGTCTCGGTTAGTTGTCATTACTAAATCATCTTGACTTGTCACTTTAAGTTCTGTACAGGTATAAGTGGACTTGAGTCAAGGTGGGAAACTTCTCACATTGGCTCAAGTCCACCTATATTTGGACAATCCAACAAGTGTTTGTATGTTTTTGCTGTTGTAAATTCACGATATATGCAGATATTGTTCTGCATTTGCTTGGACGATGCCCAGAATTGCTTTTCAAATATGAACAGTTCGAATGGGGATGGAGTCCGATTTATGGTATCGCAACATTGAACTCCGCTATTCTTCCCAGTAAAAGCGAACTCGTGTTCTGGAAACGATTGATCTACAAATGTTAGTACACCGATCACTTCTGCTTAATATATATTTCAAAATCAAGATTGTCCTTTTTTTATATGTATATGTTCTAACTTTTAACAACGATTCATGGATGTGGATATACCTTCAGTAGCTGATATCAATCATGCCACCAGTGAATACATCCAGCAAGAAGATAATAGAGAAAACCGTCGAGCAGAGCCTGCAAAGCCAGGTATTAATGGTAATCACAAAAATGGTGTTAAACAGAACATAAATTAAAGTAATATTAACCTCATACATATGACTATACTCTGCATTTAATTGTTATTTATATTTATAAATCTAAATCATGATATATATTGTTTCCTACAAGAGTAAGAAAAAGGACAACAGAAATAGGGGTAACAGTAACATAAAAGACTGCCTTTAAAGCACTACATTCAATTAGGCCTGTTTGTTTAGGTTTTAAAAAAGCAATTTTCAAATTATTTCAAAAGAAATCATGGCTGTATATCACAACTCATGCAATCTTTAAAAGCGTGATAATTGTTTGTATTTCTTCAAGAAAGTTATTATTTCAAATATCTAATCTAAGTATTTTATCTAAAAAATAAATTAAAAACAATAACTTTTTTATAGTGATTGTTTTGAAAACAAATAAATCCCTCATATTATCTTTGGTAGTGTTTGGATTGTGAATTTAAATTTGAATTTTAGATTTAAAATTTTACATTTAAATTTTATGTATTTAAATTGAAGAGAGATAAACTAAGATTCAAAGCAGAAACAAAGAAATCAGAGCAACGAGCTTATTTTTATTGTTCAATCAATGAGAGATGACAGCAAAAATGATAGACACTAATTATAAAAATGTGAAAAAAAATAAAAAGGTTAAAGTAGCTAAAATTTAAAAAAAAAAACTTAAGATCGGGAGATAATTTGAAATTACAAACAAATTATAACAAAACATGGATTTGGATTTTAAATCCATGGAGTTTTATATTATCCAAGTGTGTAATTTAGTTCATATTCAAATCCAAATCAAAATCCTCATATGTGCATGCTTGCGAATGATATTAAAATCACCTTTTTTGACTTGAACAAGCGGCCCTTAATCTAATATACTTAAACATCAGACTAGCTATTTTATGTCAAAATTCACGATTCCTCACATCAAAAGATACGAAAATTGAAAATGGAGGGGAGATGCAAGATTTTAAACATTGTATATTTGTTCCTTAACTTCTGAATGCCTATAGATGTGGTATGTAGTTAACACTTTCTTCTTGCACAGATGATGCTTTACTAAAAAGGCTCATCTCATGCACCTATGATTTTGAAGGTACGTGGATGCTAACTTACACATTACTTCCAAAAATTCTATACGTTTTCAAATCAAGCTCTCTTAATTATCATAAGCTCAATGTAGGAATCAAGAAAATGCGAGAGCTAAAGTTGCTGCATTCACAAGCAGATCTCATTCTTCGACTAGTTTGCAGTAATGTAAAGAAAATCAAGCCCGCTGATATGAAAATTATCGTATATTCTTCATATGAAGTAAATATTTTAGAAGAGGCTCTACGTCTTGCTGCGGCTGAAGGAAATGTTGAGTTCATTCTACAAATATCAAAAGCAAATCCTCAGCTTCTCCACAGCGCTGGAGCAAACATTTTCCGCACTGCTCTTTTGCATCGACAAGATAGGGTTTTCAACCTTGTCCACGAGCTTCGCTTCAAGGATGCCTTATTTGCAAGTAGAGATAGTGATGGAAATACCATGCTACATGCAGCAGCCAAGCTAGCTCCTCCTTCCGTTCTTAGCCGCATCTACGGACCAGCATTGCGAATGCAAAGAGAATTGCAATGGTTCAAGGTTAGACCATAACAGACATGCTTTAATTTATTTTTTGGATCATCATCATCTTTCATAAAAAATCATATAACTGTGTTTTCCATAAAATAAATAAATTATAGTTATTTAATAAGTATCTATTAGGCTCAACAAGTGTAAATGGATTTAAGTTGATATGAGAGGGCTCATATATAATAGAATTGAAAAATTTATAAACTCAAGTCATGAAGTTTTGAATTAAGATGAGGCATCCTTTTGTTGCTCTTGTTTATTTGTTCATTTCTCCATTTTTGGGCATTCGCTCTCCATTGTCAACAAATCCTATCAAAGCTAGGTTTTGCCTAGAACCTGTCCATATTACACATATGTTTGAGGCTCTAGCCATACCATAGACTCGTGTGCATGACATCTTCCGGTTGCTCTTGCCCATTTATTCTCTACCCAATGGAGCCATAAGTTCAAAGCTTACTAGTGTGATAGTCGCAGAAATCATAATTTCAATTTGATCGGTTTTAATGATGGCTTTCTAATTAGGTAAGTGCCTTGATGACAGACTAGGGTTCAAAGAGGCTAGTATAGTATTTTGGGAAAAATGTGAAATGCAATGATGCTTTTGAAGGCAAATTAACTGTTTAAAATATAAATGCAGGAAGTGGAGAGGTCAGCCCCCCCTGTAATGAGGATAGCTAAAAACTGTAACGGCCTGACTGCTGAGGAATTATTCAAATTAGAACACGAGGAATTGAAGAAGAAAGGAGAGGCTTGGATAAAGAACATAGCAGGTGCTTGTTCTGTTGTTAGTACCCTTATTGTCACCATCATGTTTGCCGCAACTATTACTCTTCCTGGAGGAAATGACCAACAAGTTGGTTACCCTTTGTTTTTTAAAAAACCATTTTTTAAGGTTTTCCTTTCCTCCGCTGTACTATCATTCATCAGCTCTTCCATTTCTCTTCTGATGTTCCTAGCAATCTTTGCCTCTCGCTTCTCCGAAGAAGAATTCCTCAAATCCATATTCACAAAGTTGAGTTTATGTCTTTCGTCACTTTATATCTCTGTTGTATCCATGATAGTAGCCTTTCTCTCTACCATTCGTCTCGTGTTGAAGAATACAAATGACTCGCTGATTCTCCCTCCCATTATTATACTTGCAAGTCTTCCCATTCTCCTCTTTGTTATGTCACAGTTCCCATTTCTTCTCAGAGCTACTTTTTCTTCTCAGCGGAGTTTATTTTATCGGAAAGTGAAGCCATGGTCATGATATATTTGTAATGGATGTTCCATTGTGTCTTTTATTATTTGTTTAATATATATTTCAGTTCTAGCTGCAGACACAGAGTGATGTGGTATGGATCGGAATAAATTACGCATTGTTATTACATGTGTAAAATCAAATCAGTGTCTTCTCACATTAATGGTAGGAGTGTGGAGCTTATCTTCTCCTATAAATTTTTAATATTTAATATTTAATTACCCAAAAAAATTAGGTATTTACTTATATGAAAAAAAAACTTACAATCATATCATCATTGTTAATAACAACACACATAATATTTTTATAATTGTTTGTCATTGTTTTCGGCATTAATAAACAATAATTACGAAATAGTTGGTCAAAATGGTTTGTTAATTTTTTTTAACTTTCATATGTGTAATAAATAATATTAATCTATTGAGATTTATTTCTAATTTAGGAGACTTAATTATTATTAATTTTTTTAGAAGGTATTTTTCTATAATTTTTTGGATCAATTAAATAAAAGGTCAAATAATTAACAAATATTTAATGAAGAAGCCTCATTGCCCTGTTTTTAATACATGAGTGGTAGCATTGTGCCGCCCTTACTTGTGGGTGCCTAGAACGCCTACGAAAAAGTCGGGACATAAATTAACATTTTAATCCTTTAGTAAATAAAGAAAACGCCAGATAAAAATGTAGAACACCTCCAGATCAATACAAAATGCAGGAGGAAATTGATAATCATATCATAAAATATAGTCATAGATACATAAAAGTGATTACTAAAATTCAAAAAATAATTACAAAAAAAAATCTGCAATATTATTTCCAGGATTTGCAATACTGCTAGCAAGAGAGAAGCAGAGAAGCATATATGGGAATATCAGGGCATCCATGAGATTTTGAGACTTTCTTTTTTCATCTCTTGCAGCGAGAGATAATAATAACCAGTGACGAATGCACAAGGGCAAGGGGGGTGCTCCCCCCCCCCCCAAAATTGCAATGCTTCTTTGTATTTTTTTTATTTTTCTTTATAAAAATGTGAAAATTAGTTTTTGTTCCCAATATTCTTGGTTGTTTTAAATTTTGCCCCCATATTGGTAAGTCTAGATTCATAATAACCTTTATCTTTCTACCATTCGTCTCATTCTAAAGCATACAAACTACTCATATATGAGACGGCCTTGTGATTGATGTCTCACTCTGTTCATGTTATCTGAATAATAATTACGACATTTTGGCAGTTATTACATTGTCATGGCATTTAATAGGGAATGAAGCTAGGCTGTGAAGTTTACTTTTTTCTCTTAATTGAATGAGATTAATTGAGTAATTATGATATCCATTTTTCATTGTTTCTTGTCAGTTGCATTGAGTAATTACGTATGGACATGCTTTGCTAAAGTTCTTTTAACACAGCTCTAAAATATAATATCCTGAGCTTTCTTCAAATTCTTTAAAGTCAAATTGAATTAAAGAATGGATTATTTTTCAGGAGTATGCAGATAATGACTTTAAATTGATGCACTTGGAACAAATCACATCTTCATTTTTTATTCACTGAAGTTTTAATTTGCACAAGGAAAGTTTTAATTGTTTGTTCTATTTTAGTTATTGCCAGCAAACAAATAATCATTGCTTAAAGTAGTCACTAATAATATTTACTTCTTTTTTTTTTTTGCACTAGCTAGAGCTATTACTTTTTTATTTATTTTAAACTAGGATATTTTAGTCATTTCATCAAAATTTATTAATGTCAGAAAAGTTCTTAAAGATTGAGAAGAATTATGGCATTTTACAGGACTTCATTATCATTTGTATAATAAAAAAAATCTTAAAACAATAAATTTATGAAAATCAAGTTCTAAAAAAAAAAAACAGAGAGATGAGAACATTGAAAGCATATCCCCTTAGAATCCTTCCGCTCAACGTCCCTCCGCAGTGCCTTTTTTCCCCCCTTCATCCCATCTCCATAGATAAGGAAAGTTAGACTAATCTGAACCTCATATGGGATGTTATTATCAATGGCAGCCTCATTAGTACTAACTCAAGAATGCTTTTGTCAAATTTATTTTAAAAGGACTATATAATTGCATATCTCAATACTTGAACTCAAGATCACATGATAAGTTGATTTAACTTCCTTAACAGTTTAACCAAGTGTCACTCATTAAAATAAACAAGTAATTTTAAATTGTTAAAATTTTAACCTCAACAGTGTACAATTGCAATAAAATAAACAAATAAATAAATTTATTTATGAAAAATTTTAGAATAGTACATAATTGTTAACTGTGTAGGTCAAGCTGTAACGGTTTATATTTATTTATTTTTATATGATAATTATTTTATAAAACAATTAAAATTGTTGGTAAAAAATAATTAAATCCGGATCATTCATTTATTATGTAGGAGTGTAGATGAGAGGAGGAGGAGAAAAGGAAAGTGTGAATTATGAGAAGATCCCGAACGAGAACACCGTAGATAACTGATAAGACTGCTGAATTAACTTGGCAAGTTGGGATGTGATCTTCACTTACTTACGATTTAACAAATTTTGCCAAACTAGGGTTGAAAATTGCAATGGCGGACATGTGCAATGGATAAATACACACACCCAAACATATATGCAGACAAAAATAGCTTGAAATTCAATCCCAAAGCCAAAGCCAAATTGTGGTGTTCGCGGCATCCCTTCACTTCTCTTCTCCGAATCAAAAATTCCGCCACAAAAATTCTAATTCTTCATCGTCGTCATCATTTTGCCTATTTCTTTCTTTTTTATTTAGAATTCTTTCTTCTATTTCAAGTCACCATGTGTATTTGTGGTTGAGGCATTGTATTTGTGCGGGTCCAAATTTAGCGTTCTGGGTTTTCTTTTCTATCCGATGAATTATGTCAATGATGCTGGGCTTTCGAACCCTTATTATTAGCAGATGGAAAGCTGTGACGACCCCAAATCAAAAGTATTACTTTTATTGCAACCCGCTCTGCGATTTCCTTTTCAATTCTGCCTTTTTCTTTGATTGCCCTAATCAGAAAGTGTACTTTAATTTTGATTTTAGTTACTCCTTTTCGCCTCCATTTTGGTGCACTAATTCATTAGTAAAATCAGATATTGTAATGTTTTGTTGAAAGGGAATTGATCTAGTGGAGTAGAATAATTTGCATTTAGCAAATACAAGTCGAGGAAAAAGGATCCTCTAATTTCCTCAATAGATAAATCCCTTCCCACTCTATTAATTCTCTCAATATTCACACGTGTCCCCAATTCTGAGCAGTCTACTGCAGTTGCACTTACAAGAGGTTAATTTTTTGTTGTTCGAAATCTTAAAATACATGTGGTTTATTATCTCCACAGCTTTGAAATTCTCTTCAGTGAGAGAACAAAAGGTGTGTGTTTTTTTTTTTGTTCTCTCTTATCAACAAAAAAAAAAAACAAACAACAAGAAAAGGAGTGTCACCCAAGTGGTGGCCAAGTGACGCCAATTTTACCCCCCTTGTGGGAGATTCCGAGTTTTAGTACCCCCCGCTCTTAAACTATTTAGGAAAAACTGGTCAAAAGGACCAAGAGCAAAAATATTTGGGGAGAGGGATCAAATTAAAATTTTGAAAAAGCAAAAGGTCCTTCAACGAAATTATGTTTGAATGAGAAATTATGAAAGTGTCCTTCAACGAAATTATGTTCGATTAACATCTATTTGACATAAAAAAAAGTACAGTGTGTCCCACATACATTAACAAATCAATTACATTGTGACACATCATTCTTATTTTTTAACAAGGTTAATGAGCATTATAGGCTCTAAATTATTGCATAAATAACATTCTAAATTCTGAACTTTTGAAATGTATAAAATTTTACTCAACTTTTAAATTCTAAGCATATGAAACCCTCCATTAAATTGAAAAACATGACAATTATTTTTCAGGATCAAGATAAGTATCAAAACAGTGCGCAGTTGAGCTCCACAATTACAATTAAAATTGCAATTGGGGGTTTTCAATTGTCATTAATTCCTTTAAAAGATTTGTAATTATTATTTTTTTCTTAATTTTAATTTAATACACACTCCGTCTCAATTTGCAAAAATATTTTTGGTAGAATTACACATATTAAAGAAGTTCATTAAATATGATTTACAATCTTAATTCTTATATAAAATTTTAAAAATAATCTTTATTAATAAGAGAGTGAGAGAAAAAAATTATTTGAGGAGTGAAATAATAAAAGATAATATTGAGATAATTATTATTTATGAGATCTTAATTTTTTTTAAAATGTTTTATATTTTAGAATATTAAATCATCCAAAAAAATGTTTTATAAAATGAGTCAGCACTACGTCATTAGCAATTCTCCGTATCTTGCCTGTAGCCTAGGCTAAAGTTTTTAATTGTAATTTGAAGCACGAGACTACAATTCATCACGCCCTTTGTCAGAAATTAGCGGATCGTCTTTTCAGGAGTTTTTTTTTTTTTTTTAATATAAGGTTATGTACAAAACGATTAAAGTCTGATCATATCATAAGCTATGATGCTTATACAGTTGGGGGTAGATTGATAAAGATAAAAATATCCAAATCTTCATCAGATATATTGTGAACTACAAGAACAATGCATTCGTTGGTTTTTTTTAGACATAATCAAAAGTAACCACTCTACTTTCATGATAAGATCTCTAATGTTTTTGACAATTATGGAAAGAGGATGGGAGTCTGTTATTAATGAGTGATAAAATCTCCATAAAATCAAATTAAACGTTAATTTTAAAAAATTTCTCATTCTAACAAAATTTGAATCCGAAAATTTTGAAGAGCTCAATTGCTGTGGTAGGGTCTTTCGAGAGCTTTATTGGTAATCTGCGAAGTGAAATATTTCCCTCCAAAACTTGACATAACTCATGACAACGCTGAAGATCTCATTTGTATTCCGCTATCTCCTGCCAGCACAAGCTACAATATATTGGGCTTTCTTATTATTGGGCCTGTTTGTTTTATCGGTTTTTTGATTGATTTATCAGTTTTTAACCGCTTTGCAATCTCCGGTTTAGTAGTCCACACCTGATTGGACCACATGTTGATTCCCGATCTAACCAGTTTGATTGGCCCACATGCGGTTTTGTAAACCTTGATCTTGATGTGTGTTTGACCCAAAAAGCGAGTCTTTCTCTTCAAGCCGTCCTTCTTGCATGTA